TATTTTAAAATATTTTATATTGCATTTATTCCTCTGGCAAACCTGAATGTTCAGCATGATTACTCCAGTCCTCATGATCCTTCAGAAATCATTCTAATATGCTGATTTGCTGCTCAAGAAACATTTCTTATTATTATTATCAGTGTTGAAAACAGTTGCTTAATATATTTGTGGAAGCCCTGATACAATTTTTAAACCAGGAGTCTTTGATGAATAGAATTCAAAGGAACAACATTTATTTGAAATACAAATATTTTGTAACATTATGATTGCCTTACTGTCACTTTCGATCAATTTAATACATCCTTGCTGAATAAAAGCATTTCTATAAAAACGTATACGGACCCTTTTAACAGTATAGTGTTTTTTTTTTCTTTGTTTTCAACCATTTTATCTGCTGTTTTGAATTCAAATGTTCATAAATGGCATAATTTTTGTGTTCCAGCTGGCCCCAGTAACTGATAGTAATGCACTTGCACGTATTTACACTATTTAGAGATATAGTATATTTCTAAATTATTTCAATTTGTAGCATTTAAAAGTGGAAATATTATATAAAAGTTGGAGAGAGTGCAAAAAAAAGTGTTAGAGTGCTCCCCATCTCCCCTATTTCTCTGTAGTGTGATCAAGAGCCCTCATACCAGTGTTATTTTGGAAACGCATGTGTGCCCCAGAGCCACCTCTCCCCTTACACTACTTAAAAAGTAACATTTCCTTCCTTAAACACATACAGTCACCTCACTCTCACAGACAGCCAGATTGACAGGCAGCCAGCTCATCAAGTGTCATCAAAGCCAATGAATCACAACCGTAAGGGGGGAAAGGAAGTGAAAAGCATCAAACAAAAAAAGAAATAAGAGATGGGAAAAACACAAAGCACTTGCCAGTCAGTGTAATTGTGGTGTTTCAGACCACACGTGACTCTGCCTGTCTTGAAATGACCTCATACTTCCTAAGAAAACTTCCACCTGCACTGGCTCAGCAAACGTATATCCCACAATCCTGCATTCTTCAACAGCTTTGAAAGCTGTGCATGGCTTTCACAAGACACTTAGCAAAAGAAAAGGCCACTTTGTGCAGGGCTTCCTTTACAGCCCAAGGTGTCACTTGAGAAGGTTGCTGTAATAAGAAAATGGGAGGGGAAATTGTTTTTAGGTCATTGTGTTTTAATGTTAGCATTGTGCTGCCTTTTTAACAGCAGGGTATTGAGGGAGAGAGAGTGAAATGGCAAGATCCTGAAGCATGATATGAACATTTTTAGCAAATTGTATTATTGTGCACAGTTTAGCATAACTGTTTAGGCTTTTAAGTGATTAAAAGCTCATTTGATTTCATTTCAAGGCAACGGGATCAATGAGAATCGGACAGCTGTAGACACCTGCTGTCCCTGCTTATGTTTCCCTAAAAGTCGACCTTTTTCTCCAAATAGAAATTCAATAACCATTCACCTCTGACAGGTGACCTTATGTTTCTACTCTTGTAAAAATATACTTTCAAAATAAATAAATATATAAAATAAATATCTTTAAAAAAAAAAAAACATAAATTAAAGGACCTAAAGAGAAATGTTTGGAGGAGTTTGTCTCCTGTTTGTCCATGCCAGTGTTTGGAAGAGTAGGAAATCTCAAAAGCATTTCACAGAATTCCTTCAGAAGCCTTCTAGAATTTTCAGTAGTAGTAGTAGTTATCCATCAGAAGTCCACCAGTGCTCTCTTTTAATCCAAAATCCCTTGTGTCCTACATACAGCAGGTGTGAATGGATCTGTTCTTCAGGAACTATCCAGACATTTGGTTCCTGCCACTCCAATCAAGGGCTTTCCATCTCCTGCTAATGGTCCAACTTTGGCCTGCAAAAGAGGACCTATTTTCCCCCTCGTCTGCGCTGCTTTCTCCTGAGACAGGTTTGTCCAAGGGGGATAAAGAGCATGCAGGTGCTTTTTTGGGGGTTTGAATGTGAGGTTCAGTGGCTTCAGCTGTGACCTAGTATCTCCTTGTAAAGCTCAGGAACGCGCTCTGGATCCACAGGCCGAGGCAAGAAATGCGTGAAGCGCTGGTGCCTCCGAGAGCGAGCTCCATCTCGAGACGTTCCGTCTTTGTTGAGTGCTATGTAATAATGGGATCCTCGCTCGCCATGTCGATACAGGTTAGAAGAGTAAGTGTTGTACCAGTTCTCCTCAAACTGCTCCTTGAACACACACTCCGCTGTCAGCTTTTCCTAAGAGAACAAGAGGGAGGGCAAGGGTTAATCACACTGCAAATGCAAGAATAAACTGTGTCCAAAGGCTATTTGAAATTACACTGTAAATCACTCTCTCAATTCAGCATGGCCACGATATGAATGAAATTAATTGTTGCATTACTTCAAATAATATACCAGTAAGAGGAAGAACTGGAAACTGGAAGAAAATATATATTGGAGCATTGCTATACTTACAGAACCGTACAGTTCGCCCTTGCTGTTCATTCCCAGATACAGTCCGCAGTCCACACCGCGGATGCTCACCATCCCCACAGCGAGGCTAATGAATTCCAATATACCTGTGAGAAAAGCACAGCTGTTAGTTCCCCGTTGTTGAGACAGCAGGACAAGCACCTGCAATAGTGGCATCAAACTGCCCTATACTTAATTCATGACATCTTTCACACTTAATCACTGTGTTTTGCTATGTTATACTGTTATTGGAACACAGGTTTATGAAAATAATAATAATAATCACTGTCGTCATAATAATATCATCAGATTTTACATTGCATTGCAATTACATAAGTACCAATAGTCAGCAATTTCATTATTAAAATATTCATAATGCATATGTTTTTACTGAAATGTCTTGATATCAGAGTTTTAACCATTACAATAATCATCAGTCCTGGTCAATCTCTACATAAGTGAACAGCATGTGCAGTTGCGTTATGGATATGCTTGTGAATGCACAGTGTTGTATGGTTATTGCTAGAGTATATTAGCAGCACTGGCTGGCTGTAATGAAATAACGATAAATAACACTTACCAAATCTGCTGTGGTCTTTTCTCGTGCCTTGCACCGATCCGTCCGGTAATATCTCGAGGTGGTAGCCGGTCCTGCAGTAGAGCTGCCGGCGGCGGAGGATCCCTTTCAGATGCGTCAGGTCCGGTGAAGTGCTGCGTGACAGGCGCTCGGCGGAGACGATGTGCTCGTTCATCAGAGCACCGGAGTCCCCGGGGGGCGTGAGGACGAAATGAGACCCGTGCGCAAAGCTCTCCAAGCCGTGAGAGAAGCTGCCCACCAGCTCGCCGACTGCACCCATAACCGACACTCGAAGAAAAGTTGTCGTGAGGAGAACCCCTGTGGTTTCTCTTAGAGGCAAGACTTCAAGGTGTGTAGTGCGTAGGCTATGCGTTATTATTAGTAGTAGTATTATTAGTCCAAAAAGTGTCTTCTTGATTTGCGATATGATTTATACGCTGAAAAAAAAACCGAGTAGAATATTTTTTTCATTTAGAAATTGCTAGTGAATTAATTATAAACAAAGGGCAAGTATTACATTGAATTAAACGTGAAATTCTTAAGTTGAAAGACTGGAATTTTATTTTTTTTTATAAAACGTACTTCTATTTTATTTTTTAAAATAAAGCTTATTTTAAAGTGTATCGTCATTCCTGGGTTTAAACGTCGCTTGGCTGCCTCAGCCAGGTGTAAATGTATGACCTATAAAGCGTGCATGAAACTTTAAGAGAAAAAAGAAGAAACAGTCAAAACAACCTGCACATCTGTGCAAACGCCATCACTGCACTGTCAGCCCTGACTGATGTCGAAGTGCCTTTGAACAGTTCCAGCATAACATGAGTTGAGATGAAGTATCAAAGATATCAGAGATCAAAGATTCATTACGCACAAAATAAGGGTCATTAACACAAAGGAAACGAACTGTTTGATGGCAAATCGTTGATACTATGAGTGATTGATATAGAAAATTTCCAGCCCAGCAGCTAAGAGCATGCCTCAAAGTAGATATTACATGAAAGATTACTTAGGTATGGATCTGATGTTGCTTATTCATTTTTTTTTTCAGGGAATTCTGGGAATGTCAATTTACGGTTATTCACTGTAAATTATTCGGTCTGTTTAACTTCCAAAAACGGTATACTACCGTAAAATTAATGTCCAATACATGTAATGTCCAATACAGTTTTTCACCGTATATAGTAGGGGAATTTACCGTTAACCATTTAACAGGTTTTTACTGTAGCATTTTTACAGTCTTTTACCGTTAAATTAACGGTAATTTTTTACAGTGTAAGCTACATTTTGTAGTAGGCTACAGTACATTTGCTGTTCATCTCGCGCAACAGAAATCCTCTTTTGCAGCCCTCAGTCGTCCCAGTTACCTAACGTTTTTTGTATATATGTTATATGAAAGTATATAAGTTAAAATTATTTGTATTTATGTTTTATCGACGTATCGGTGTACTGTTGCTATGATTACCTCCTGTTGAACACGACTTGTTTAGCGCATTTTAACCAACTTATAATAGTTATAACTTAATTTGAAACGCATACTTTTTTTGTAAAAGAGACACCCCGACCTTTCGTTTTGACTTCTTTTGAGGGGTTCAAGCCTGGGAGTTAGACCCGCCCCATAATTATAGACATACATGTGCGTTGCCAACCGCTTTCATTTATTCAGAGTGCGTAAACGTGCATTTTTACAGATGAGCACAGATGGCATACTTATTGGACTTGCTGCTGCTCTGGTCTGGGTGATCCCGGTGAGGGATCAGCACATCTCGCGATGAATGAATGAGAATTCGGGAATTTTGCACAAATTCTGGCATACCAACAATAATGGCCGCTGTGCGCAGACTGGGGGTCATATTTAGGAGTTTGTCGCTGTCGTCGGCTTCGCGGAATGCGCTTTTTGATTCTCCCGTGAAGGATAACCGATGCAGACGCCGAGGAATAGCGGTTGCTGTGGGCGTCGCGGCCGGAGGAGCGGTGTTGTATTATTATTATTCAGAAATGTGCGGATATAGAGGGAGGAAAGCCCCGATAAATGGAATAGGCTGTCGGGCTCTGCTGCCTTCACTACCCGCTGTAGCCGCAAAGGATAAGGTATGACTGTTCCTCTCAGTGCCACGTAACACTGCTTCCTATTAGGGTTTTTCCCCCTCTCTCCTGGCAAGGATTTTTTTTACTGTCAAATCTATGAAACTGCTAGTGGGGCAGGGATTGTGAACTGTTGTTAAGCTTTCACGCTGTAGAGTTTGGTGAATTGTTTTGCTTGCGCACTCAAACAGTCGTAAAGCTCGGATGACAATGCGCATTTGTGTGATGCTGCAGCAGGAAGAAGGGCGCTTTCCTCTGTCATGGTGCTGAAATGCCTGCGCTCACGAGTGACTGTTTCAGATCACATATCTTAAGCGTTAAGGTTGGATAAAACAGCTATGCACCTATCTGTGTTGTATCACAGAGGCCTGCCAAACAGTAATCTGTACCCTGTCGGCGTTGAGCTGTCATATCCAAGTACAGAATTCTTTGGCACGTGCATATAAACATATTTTTGGGATTTTTGTTCCTTTGGCAGACAGTCAGGTTTGGTTTCCATGGGCTGCCAGATGTTTTGGTCTGACTGTTCCACTTAGTAACTAAATGTTTTCCTGATTGGAGTGGAAACGTTGCAGTTCAGGGTTGCAGTTCAAGTGCTTTCATCCCTTGTGTGCGTTACCCTTTAAACCCGTAGTTCACAGAGATAAAATATTATGTTTTTCCTACATATACAAATCTATGTGTTTTTCAAGTGTTGTTTGATCCATTAAAGTATTAAGGTCATTTTACACCATAAAATACATTATCCTACATGACAGCATAATGATGTGTTCATGTTTTTGATGCATTAATGTAATTTCATTTATATTTACATATAAATGAAAACAAAAGTCTTTTTACTTATGACATGATTCCATAGAGAATTTATTATTCAAAAACATTTTGAATGTTATTACAAAAAAAATCAAAATACTTGAAGAACTTTAGTAACTTTTACTATATTATAAATCTAAATCTGTGTATATTTTATACTTGTATGTGTATAAAAAGTTATAATTTATAATTTATATTTTATTTTATAACTACAATCTAAATCTATGTATTTTAGAATATATATATATATATATATATATATATATATATGACTATAAATCAGCAATGACTATGCTGTCTTTCAATATACATACTCTTTGTGGATCAGTACGTTTTTGAGGCTGCATTTATTTAATCAAAAATACAGTAAAATGGTTAGAGAGTCGGACTTGTAACCCAAAGATCGTGGATTAGAGTCTCGGCACCGGCAGGTATTGTAGTCCGCATTTGTCACATGATCCTTCACAAGTCATTCTAATATGATGATTTTTACAATAGTGCAAAATGATATTATGTAAAAATTCCCAAATAAGAAATAAGATATGATTTTGTAAGTATGCTGTTCTTAAAAGTACCATGGTATTACCATTCTTTTTTGTTTGTTTGTCTTGACCTTCTTTGAATTATCTATTCATATACCAAGTAAAGACCATGGAATATGAATATAGAATTCATTTAACATTCAGTATCAATGTACCATGGTATTACCACCTGATCAGTGTACCATAGTATCATCATTTTATTTCTTTTTGTAAGAGCATGGGAAGAGAAAAATAGGGCGAAAAATTATTTCTCAGTTTTGTGATGGCTGTACAGAATCATATGAAATCAAATCCAGTCCTTCAGAGTTTTTCTAGAGTGATGCTGAATTGTCCTCGCCATTCTTGTCTCTTTCTTTCTCTTTCTTGCTTGCTCTCTCTCAGTGGGTACCAGTCAAGCACCAGTTAAACACAGGCCTGAGGCTTTCACTTCCTGTGAGCACTCCTAAAAATAGCTCAGACATGCATTCTCCAGGCAAAATACGTGCCTGCTGACCAAAACGAGGATTGAAACCTAAAAACAGAGTGCAGAATTGCATTAATACTTTCTTGAAATAACTGCAGAAGCGAGCAGTTCTTCAGCAGCACAGCCACAATTAAAGTATTTGCTTGTGGCGTACGTAACAGCACTTGCTCACACCACCAGCTAATTCCCAGCGGTGATAATTATACACACACTCCACACTCTTACAGTACAGCAGGACTCTAAAAATAAACCCTCTGAATTCTGTTCTTCCTCATAGTAATTACCGTTTTTGAAACCATCATCTTAAGTTGGCGGCAGTACATTTATCTTGTTGGTTTCACTGATGTGGAGCCATGCATCCAGAAGATGCCTGTACTCAAGAAGCTTCAGCTTGACACGGCATCTGATCTCAAGCTGTGGTAATGATAGCATGCAAATGTTAATTGAGGAAGCTATGCTAACGAGATCCGTGAATGTGCTCAGGTCTCTAAGGAGCGGTTTCTAAGAGGATGCAAACTCAAGGGAAGTCTTAGTGAAGAACTAGAAGGAGGCATGGGAAGTTAAAAATGTTGCACAATCTTAAATATGACTTTGAGAAAACCATATAGTTAGGAAATTAACACCAAGTAATGATTGTTCTGGTCCCACAAGCAAATATATGTTCTGTTTCCGTATTTTATTTAATTTTTTTAAATATTTATTTAATTTATTTATTATATTTATTATTGATTCATTTATAATATAATAAATGATTTATCTGATTATTTATTTATTTTCTATCTTTGTGTATGGCTGTTTCTTTAATAATGTATTGTTGTTGTTGTTTATTTATTTATTTAGATTGTTTTTGTTTATTTATTTAGATTGTCTTCAAACAGCACCCTGTCCTTCATAGTTTATTATGTTTGAATTTTATTTGCAACTGCAAATAATAAAGTAATAAATGTATTAATATAAAATAAAAAATAAAAATAAATGCAGTTATGCATTGCTATGATAGCAACTAAACAGGCTTTTTTAAGAAACGATGAGAAGACTTTTTCCATACCTTTTCATGGCTTCATGTCAAAGGTCATTCATCCAATTAAATGGTATGTTTGGAAAAATTCTATCAGTTGGTAGAAACCAGCCAACCAGGGTTTCCGCAGGTCTTAAAATGCAGGTCCACAAATTAAGGATCAAAAAAGGTCTTAAATCAGAGCAGAAAGTCTTAAATTCATCAGATGTTACTGTAAAGTCACGACATTAAATGTTGTGTGCACTACAAAAAAAATGAATGTCTCCCTGTTTGTCTTGTTTTCCAATCCAAATATCTAAACATTCTTAAATCAAGATACATTTTATTGAGATGCAAAATAAAGAGAAGAAGTCTTGTTTCCTACGAAATTGAACAAATTTGATTTATGCTTAAAACAAGAATATGGTATATGGTATGAAAACTTGTTTACTCTTTGAATGAAGTGTATTTTGTAACCCCACTGGCAGATATTTATTCTTGTTTTAATCATAAACTCACTTCGTTATCAGTTTCTCAGAAAACAAGACTTCTTATATCATTTTGCTTCTGAATGTACCTTGATTTGAAAATCACTGGAAAACAAGACAAAAATACCAAGGAAAAACATCACTTTTTGCAGTGTAATCAGAAGGTATAGAAAATTATTTCCATGTTCTAATTAAGCTATTTTTTTATTTGTAAAATGAAGTTAAAAGTAATGGAGATCTGTTGGAAGTTATTATTACTGCTCCATGAACATATTGACATATTAAGTTCCCTTTAATTTTTTAATTTTTCTTTAATTGTTCTTAAATTTACCTTCAGAAAATGTGCAGAAACCCTGAACAACATAGACAGGTTATGTGACGTCCTCATCCTCATCTTAATGTCGAACCTGTGCAGTTCTGGTTAATATTTGATATTTTAATATTTGTAGATTTAAAAAAAAAAGTCCTTAAAATCAAATATTGCTAAAGCAGTTGAGAACCACTAATACAGACTGTATAAAAGAATACCATACAGAGCTCATTTGTGATGTTTGTTGTTTTTATTACAAAAATTCTGCAAATATTTTCCATTGATGTTGTCATGCATCCAGTTCGAGAACCAGACCTTTCTTCTCATGCCAGTGTTTTTGCATTGTAAATTGAGAACGCTCGGTATGCGGACCTTTAAAAGTATGAATCATCTCATACAAACACATCAGATTTAGCATTTAAGCTTAATGCATCTCTAGGAGACAGGCTTAGTATTGAGACTGTATTGAACAGGAATGAATGGAATGTAATACAGCGCCTCTTCATTTAAGGGGCCCTGCTCAAAACAAAGATTTACTACATATGTAAGCACCATGTAAACATTAACAAAATGTCTGCAGCTAAAAAGCCACGTTTTACCAGTTTAAAGCAGCTTTAGACATATATTAATGTCTTTAAATTTGTTTTAAGATCCCCAGGGATAACCTTTGACCCCGAGTCTTCAGCTCTAGTGTCAGCCACAGAATTCTCAGAGTATTGTAAAGGAATAGTTGCCTAAAAATGAAAATGTGTGCATCATTTATGTCATTATGAACCCTGTATTTTTTACTGTATTCCATGAAACACAATAGGAGATGTCAGTTTCAATTGAACATCTGGTCTGGCAAAGGGAATAACTAAGGAAACTAAGTAAATTTTGCCCAAATTTTCCAATCTGATTGTCTCTTCTGGCTCGAGTTGTCTTGCTCAGTGGACTTTGAATGCCTCTGTATTGCTTGAGTGAGTGTGTGAGACTGCGGGTGTTGGGTTGAATTTTCAGTGTCAGGTTTTCCTCCCGAAGGCACCCAGGCAGTGTCCCGTAACACTCAGTCCACTGACCCTGAACTATCTCTATGCCTAGTACTGTCTCCATGTCCCCCTTCACACAGAAGCTGTGGAGAGGAACACTTTCAATGGAGGTGTAGGAAAACGTATCCCTTCTCTCTGCCCTTCCCCGGTGCCTTTACATAACAGAACTTCCATCTTTCCATCAGCCCACCTCGCTTTGTCTCTTTTTGGCTTTTATTTTGACTCTCACTCTCTCTTTCCTTCGTACTCCACTTTGACGCTTTTCTCACGAGTCTAACAAAAGCAGGGACAGTTCCCTGTCTAAATGGGGCACATCTCCCAGTCCTGACGGATGCCTCTAGAACACCCTTATCCAAACAGAAGCCTTTGAACGCATGCAGCCTCCGTCTCCATGGCGGTCACTCACTGTGTCTTCAGCTTCAGTGTGTGGGCCAAACGCGGGGCAAATGTTGCCTAAATGTAGACGGACACTTTAGCTGAGAGGCACCTTTTTAGATATTATCATCATGAAAGGGGGGATTACTTGTCCTTTTTTTTTGTTGGAGCAGGAGAAGAAGGGAAAAGGGTATGCGACTCCATCTATCTCTGGAGGCCCCTAGCTTTGAAAATCAGTAAACATTTTAATCCAAGCTTCAGATGAGCCGCCTCCTGAGTTTTCAGTTTAGACAAAGAGTAAAAGAAAAAAGTTGTAGGTTGTTAGTGTGTTACTGTACATTAGCAGAATGGATGTGACCCTTTGATATCCTTTTTCAGGCATCATCGCTTACACTGAGTATCTCTTTCTGCTCTGCATTCTGACAAGTGAGTATGACCTCTATCTCTCAGTCTTTTCTATCTCTGTCTCCCTCCCTTAAGTTTTCATTCTTATCCCATGCTTTTTTTTTCTGTGCCCTTCTTTTTTTTAAATCAGCGCACTATGTATGTATCCTATTTTAAACATGAATCAAAGATCATCTGTTTTACGTCTAGTGTGGCTCGCAAGGCCCACCCAGACTCTCACCCTCACCAAAAAGAGTTTCACTGAAGCCACATTTTACTCACTGCATAATTAAAGTTTCAGATTTGACTTTATGCAAAAGGAAGATTTTGCTGCTCAGAGGTCGCAGAGTTCTCAGTTATGTCTTATTTAAATGTCAAATGTTTCTTATAAAATTGTTTGGAAGAAATATAAATAAATATATTTGCTTTATCTAAAGAGTATTCCTAAACTTACATATTACCCAAAAAGTGTAGCATTTCCCAGATTTGATCTCCAATTGTCAGTAAAAATATTTGTTTGTAAGTTAGGATGTTTCAAAAATGGGTCATGTATTTTCATTTTTAAAAATTAATTTTCACACCACAAAATTTAACTAGTGGGGGAAAAAACGTAAATGAAATGTTGCATTTGTAAAGTATGCATTTTCCCTTATTCACATATAATCAGGAGACATGATTAAAAGTCTTCATTTGTTCTCCATTCAGTGTTTAGGAGGAATAACTTAGATGTTAAAGGGTTAGTTCACCCAAAAACGAAAATTCTGTCATTAATTATTTTCATCTCTACTGTGTCACTTGTGGACGCATGTTCACGAGCGTGTGGCGGCACTGACCCAGATCTGGCGTGTCCGCTTAGCTTCGTAACTTTACAGTTGAACCACTGATGTCACACGGACTACTTTGTCGATCGTCTTGGTACTTTTCTGGACCTTGAACGTGGTAGTTACCTTGCTGTCTATGGGAGGGTCAGAGAGCCCTCAGATTTCATCAAAATATCTTAAATTGTGTTCCGAAGATGAACGAAGGTCTTACGGGTTTGGAACAACACGAGGGTGAGTAGTTAATGGCAGAATTTTCATTTTTGGGTGAACTAACCCATTAAGTAGATCTAGTTTATGATTTTACATTCGTACAGAGTTGTCTGTGGCCGTTTGATTAAGCTAGTGTTAAGTAGCTGTAACACAGAAACACGCTGCCTAACATATGTTCTCACTTCTGCTGTTGCTTGGGCAACATTACAAAGTGAAGACATGTTGCTCTTGACGGGTTCAAAAATCTCAAGAGAGTGATGAAAGGAAAGTGGTGAAAGCAAAAGTGTATTGCAAGTTCTTGGGGTGGTAACAGGTTCTTAGAAATGTGGGCCTGTCCTCTGATTAAGCCACCTAGTGGTTGAATGTTTAATAGGGGTTAACAGATCGACTGCAAAATTTGCAAAAAAAAGCAGTGCTCAATGAGCAAATATATTTATACATCCTATTGTTTCGTTAAATTCATGCCGCAGCTTATTATAATAATATGACATTCTTTTCACAACTGTTCTTCAGAGCCTCATGCAGGCTTTAAGATTGCCTTTAACATGTTTGATGCTGACGGTAACCAGATGGTGGATAAAGGGGAATTTCTTGTGGTGAGTTGATAAGAGTGTTGATTCTGTCCATAGATGTTTGTTTTTAAAAAGAATTTTTCAACTCGCCATTATTCCTTCTCTATTTCTTTTTTTAGTTGCAAGAAATCTTCCGAAAGAAAAATGAGAAGAAAGGAAGAAAAGGAGATGCTGAAAAATCTGCTCAACTGGTAAGTTGATATCAGGAACTTTGTTTATGATAATATTGTAATCTGTTTTTTCAGTCCTAGTTCTCCCAAATTGTAAATTAAAAATCATAATCCTGTATAAAAAGAGTAACGTTACACATTTGCACATTTAATTAAAAAAAATGAAATCACACAAATCAAAAACTATTTAGATGTCTTCAAAATTGCTAAACTTGACATAAATAGAAACTTTAGTTTGACCTCCTGAGCATGATGATCAACATTTTCTGACCATTTTTCCTTCTGTCACTGAATCATTTGTTAGGGGGGGGGGGATAAAATCTTTGTTTACAATATGTAGAAAGTGTCATAATATATATATACAGTATATTCGTGATTAATCGATTTAAAAACACAAATATATATATTTGAAGAATAACAAGAATATATATTCTGCTAATTATTCTTATATGGTACCATGAATATATTGTGCATCCCTATTTATTACTTTTAATCAGAATTACAATTTTCCGCCTTAACTTCCTGATGACAAACTGGCTTAAAAATCCCATTGATGTGCACTGAACAAGGGACCGGAGTAATATTTCGAGGTGGGCTCTTTTGACTTGGGTCAGAAAGCCACCTCTTGACAACACCCTAGCACCCAACACCTAACACCTTAGCAACCATAAAACAACACCTTGACAACCAGCCACATCAGCCTAGCATCATGGCGGCGAGTTTTGCACAGGCAAGCATCACTCACATTTTCTTCAAGTCTAGTTATATGTGGGATACTCAAAATCCCATATATATCCTGAAAACATCAATTGGCCACCCACTGTAAACTTCCTCTAGACTTATATCTGTATTTGTTTTGCCTGTCCCGGATGCATAACACTTTTTATCTCATTCACATGTCCAGTTTATCAAGGGCTGTCTGAGAGGGAGCCAGTTGCGTCATCCCCTCTTGGAGGCTTGCGAAAGTGTGCCAGCTGTCCTGTGGTTAAACCACTTTCTATTCTTTGCATGTTTAACCTGTCTTTGTCCATCTCTTCTTATGTTCTTCTCTCTTTCCTCTCCTCTTCCGCATGCTGTGACCTCTCCTCTCATCTCTGTGTAGAGTATGCAGCTCTATGGATATCAGGTTGTCCCCGTAAACAGCGTATGTATCTCCCCCAGCTCTCTGACCTGTGAACTATAACCTCTGTGTGAATCTTGAAATCATGGAAGGAATGATGGGTGAATGAGAGAGATCTGCAGATGACTGAATGAAAATGTGGAGTGGACCTCAGAGGTCAGAGAGCATGTGGGTGTTTTGCCACTATCAGTCTAATTTGATTCTTATTGATTTCAGTTTCTTTAACCACAAAGTGTCAGTTACAAACTTCATCAGTGGGCTATAAAGAACAGGTTTGAGTAAGAGTGGGTGGAGCTGTTGGTGTAAAATGTGTTTTCTATTGAGTTAGCTCTGGAGTCTTTCACATTCACTTACATTAAATCACTTACATTACATCTCTCTCGCTCACTGACACCCAAAAGAAAAGAAAGATCACAATTGAGATGTAGATGTTTCTTCTAGACAGCAATGAGATTAAAACTCTTTCAAGACCACATAAATGATGATAAATGCTATAAATTCTATACACTGCCATTCAGTCTGAGGTCATTAGGAAGAAAAAAAATCAAAGTTTTTTATTTTTATTTATTTTTCAGCATGGATGCATTAAATTGATCAAATGTTACATTTATAAATTTATAATGTTACATAAAAAATCTAATTCAAATAAATGTTCTTTCTATTCATCAAAGAATCATAAAAATGTATCAGTTTCCAAAAAGATATTAAATGGCTCTATTGTTTTTAGCATTGGTAATGATAAGAAATATTACTTGAGGGCCAAATCAGCATATTAGAATGATTTCTGAAGGATCATGTGACACTGAAGACTGGAGCAATGATGCTTAAATTTCAGATTTACAATCACAGTAATCAATTCTATTTAAAAATATATTACATATATATTTTAAATTGTAATAATATTTTACAATATTACTGTTTTTGCTGTATTGTTTTCTTCAAATAAATGCAGTCTTGGTTGATGACACTGAAAACAACAGAAAATGTAAATGGGGACATACTAAAAATGTATTTTATTTTTACATAAAGTTAATTCTAGTTACTATAGACTAGTACATATACAAAACATTTTTTACAGTTTTACAAATTTTATTTTTAAATAGATTTTCTAATTCAGAACATCCCTATTGGAACTTTTGTCAAATTTAGCTCACTTTAGTGGACAATTCTGTCCACACAAAAACACATACATCCACTTTCACATATTCAACTCATACACAAGCGCTTTTGTATATCTGTGAATCTGGTACAGAAAGAGAGACAGAGTGAAAGACCTTTGTCCATTAAAGTGGCTCCTTACAGCACAAGAAATATATTTCCTGTTTTCCTTATCCTGATGTGTCAGTATTAGTCTCTCAGCTTCTGTATTCAATAAATAGGTACAGAATAACTGACAACAAATCGTTGAATTATTGAATGCACGTGCTGCCGTGTTGTGGAGTGCATATGAAGTCATTTTCAATTATTCAACCATTCAGAAGCAATTATTCTGCTGATATCATGGTTACTGTATATCAAAAGAAAAAAAAATCCACTTTTCATCAAAAAAAAAAACGTTATTGTGCCAGTATTTATAATAGTCTGAGCGACTATTAGTTCAAAAGTGTCTGGAAAGAACATGGTAACATGATATGGATCTAAAAAATAGCTGTGCAGTTACAGAACATTCATAATCAAGATTTCATGTCATGGTATGAACATTTTGTGTCATGGTAAAAACTACATTTTGTGAGTCAATGATGACGCATATATGAGCCATTTCACAGAAGATTCTGTATCTGGTATAATAATATATGCTGATAAAACCTTTCAGTCTTGGATAATATCCCAGATTTTTTTTTTTATGATTAATCACTCACATCATATAACCACATACAATTAGCATTTGCTAACATCAGCAAGTTCCCCCTCCTAGTCTTCATATGAATCCTTATACAATATATTTGATTGGTTTAGGTTGCTAAATTTGCCATATGTTTTTCATGGTTGAGAAAATGACTGAGAGACCACCCGACACATCCTCTTATTAACCATGTCAATAGAAACTAACATGATAACAGCTCTCCATCTCATGCTAAACCCTCTGCAGGTGCTAAAAAAAGAGAGTCAGGAGTTTGTGCCCAGGAACTACTGGGACATGCTGAGACGTGGCGCGAGCCAAGCCCTGTTTTCTGACCTGGCAGAGGTACAACCATAGCCCTCTGTCCTCCTGTCTCATCCCACGTTTTTATTCGTCCCTAGCCATCCCTAACACAGTGTTCTCACCTGGAAAAGGTACACCTTAACTGCCATTCCTCCATTTATCCTATATATATATATATATATGTCCACCTTAACCCTAACATCATTCTCATTTAATGACCCAGGAATATCCTTTTATTTATTTGTTTATTTATTTTCAGTTTCATCCCTCTTCTTATGTATTTTATCAACTGTTGATCTGCTAGAAAATATGTTTTTGATGCTTCATTTAAAATAAATGAAAACACGATAACGAGATGTTTGTTGTTATAAATTCATCTGATAAGAAAAACATGTATTGATTTCAGTGAATGTCTTATTTATTAGATTATAAGAATGGAAGTGTATTTTCTAAAATCGTGTTTCTGCCTCAGAGTTAAAAATTAAAAATTAATTGGGAGGTAAAAAGCTGCAAATTATAGTCACAAATGTGAAATATTAGATTGCAATTACGAGAAATAGCATTACAAATACATATATGTGTGTGTGTATCTGCAGTGTTAATTCAGTATTATTTTTACCTAATAATGCTATATATTATATACTTTTATATACACTCTCAGAAAATAAGGTGCAAAAGCTGTCACTGGGGTGGTACCTTTTCAAAAGGCACACCTTTGTACCTAAAAAGTCCATATTTGTACCTTAAAGGTACATATTAGTACCTAAAAGGTACAAAAGTGTACCTTTCAAAAAAAAGTACCGCCCCAGTGACAGCTTTTGTACCTTTTTTTCTAAGAGTGTATAGGTTTAATTATTAAATGTATTTTTGTTCCATTTTAATTTTAGTTTAATTTAATTTTGAATTACCTTTAAATAGTTGCATTTCATTTTAATTTTTGTTTAATTTTTAGTAATTTAATTTTTTATATATATTACTATATAGGTTTAATTTATTTTTATTTGTGTATGTGCGTATAATTTGTAAATATATACTATATTTCAAAAGGAAGTTTTGATTGTGATGTGAAACAAGAAAAAGATTTCAGGTTTAATATGATTTTTTACAGAGAATTTTGCAGAGAATTGCTGGCTTTGTTAATACTTCATCATTAATTGTTTTTGTCATTTCAGCTTATCGATTTCTAATATTTTGCATGTGCAGTCTTTGCGTTTAATCGACTGTGAATAATAACAAGTTAATATTGTAAGCTGTCAGCGGTGAGGCACATTAAAGCAGCACTATGTAACTTTTCTGTGTTCAAAATTTGCAAAATGTAAATAATGAGCGAGTACATAATGAATTCATCTTCTAAACCGCCTATTTGTCTTATTCCTAATCACTACGGTACACTTATAATAAGTGCTTATATTCGGACTAGTGTAGCCTGTTCGGGTCGTCACCGCTGCGGAGTAACACATACATGCGTGAATCGCCATAGACGTAAGCTTAGAGAAGTAGCTCCGGTTGGAATGTTCTTCCGCGGGATGCGTACAGTTCTGTTTATTAACCGCTAGAGCGCCAAAAGTTAGATAGTGTTGCTTTAAAGGCCTTTGTTTATACACCGATTCAGAATATGTCTGCTCATCCTGATGGTGTGTTTGTGTTCGAATGGCTAATAGAGGATGTCTGTAGGAAGCAGTAGTTTAATGATTGTGGAGAGCTGTGTGCAGATGCCCTGTATTTACTTAGTCTGTTATTCACAATGAAAGGGTAATTTCAGTTTGGCTTCCTCAGATGACACAGCAGTTAGACAGGTCTGTTTGTCTGAGTTGACAGCTGCAGGGTACCAGACATTGTGTATTTGTTTGTGGGCTAAAGGGCGCATGCTAGCATGTGTGGAAGTGTGATTGGGGTTACTCATCTTAGAAGTCGACAGCAGTAATCACTGTTTTTATCGCTGTTTTTAGATCAAAGAGTAAAACGCTTCAGGCAATGTCTAAGTCACACTGTGGGCCCGGCTGAAGTGTTACATGGAATGATGACCTCACATTCATTTTTTCCTGTAACCACAGTGTTGTGATGTCACACTTCCAGCAGATTGATGACGAAATTGTGAAGAAAAAAAAACAGCTATAAATGTTTTAGATAAAAGAAAGATTAATTTATCAATCCATCTGTTTCAGTCACATGACTTTTATGCTCACCCAACATATTTATGACCATCAGCGAACAAAGTAATAGGGTGAATACAAAAACGCATGAACAAAATACCAAGAAAAAATGTTGATGTTTGGACTTGATCCATCCCTGTCCATACCTACACTTATATACTGGATGCATCACACTAATAACACTCTAAAACATGCTGGGTTACATACTACAAATAGGGACAAACCCAGCAATTGGGTTGTTTTGACCCAGCGGTTGGGTTCAAAACATCCCAACCGCTGGGTCAATACAACCCAATATTTGGGTTTGTCCCTTTTTAACCTAGCGCTGGGTTATATTTAACCCAGCATTTTTTAGAGTGTATGGGGATATATATATATATACACACACACAATGCTGCCTTTGAATTTAGCTAAAATAAGGGATCTTCGAAGACAGCATACTTTTATAACCTTGTTTGGTAACAGTCTCTGAGTTGAGAACATGCCTACAATGCTTTAAAATGCTGTCTAGGCAGGTCAGTAGGTTTTTGGAAAAGTCTCTTGTCTTGTATGGAAGCCTGTGTTTATAAATGAATGAAAAAAAATGCATTTGCTTTATTTATCACAATTATGTTTTAAATCTCACAGATGTGACTATTTTATTTTATCTTTGAAACAGGCTTTCGTACTCTTGGGATCAAAAGTTTACATTTCCATCCTGTGTTCATTGGCATCTCAGAAGAGTTTTAAAGTTTTTTTTTTTCTTATAATAACACTATGTTGATAAAACACCAAACATCTGCAATATGTGTCTGAGTCGATCTGGCTAGTGAAATGGAATAATTCCTTCTCTCTTTATAACTTTCCACTGATTGTATCTCCATGGATAGGATTTTAAGCTAGAGGTACAGCAGTGGCATGGACTTGCATTCTGCCTCGCTTCATTGCACAGAGGCCCATAACCAGGGGAAAAGAGCTGTTTAGTGTTTATGCCTGGTTTTACCTGGTTTCAGCATGATAGGCTCTTCTTGCAGATGAGGGTGAAGCATGGGTAGAAAAGAAAAAAACAACAACAACCACCTAACCTGACCTTGCACCTTTCAGCCACCTTCTTCCAGTTTTTTTTTTTTTTTTAATGCTATGCTTGAAAAAAGGAATCATGATACTTGAACGATCGCTCAAATTGATCTTGAACATTAGCTTTAAAATCTGAAGATTCTTGAGAAGGAAAGGTGGAATTTGCTTACATGTGTGCATTTTTTCACAAATCTCTTGCAGATACGCTGTGTGAAAGTTTGTTGTCGAATTGCATGCCATATGGATGCTTTGTGTTGTCATGTGTTGGTCTGTCCTGTACTTCCTTTGGCTTGACACTGTGTACACCTGATATTCATGTCCAGTCCTTACAAATGATTTTAGTGAACGGCTCTCTTAAACCATATTCAGCGGTAATTAAATATACCAGATGTACACAGGGGGTATACGGCATGTTTGTGTGCATTTCTGTGTATCATTGCTCTTTGCTGTGTTTCTTTTTCAGTCTAATATACAATCTTTATGCCATTCTAATGGTATAAAGATCTGCACGTCTTCTCAGAACATGTCCTCTGTAGGCTCAGGAGAGAAAAGATAAATGGATGCACACTTTCAGGCTCTGGATGGCTGGTACTCTGAATGGCTCCGCAAGCCTATGATGGACTGATTTCTTATTCAGACAGAAGGATTTTTGTCATAGTTTCTTCTTTCTCGTTCTCCTCACCAATCGCAGCGTGCCGATGAGAACATGATGATTGACACCACTCTGCTTGTGCACTTCTTTGGCAAGAAGGGGAAGGCGGAGCTAACGTTTGAGGACTTCTACAGGTATGACAACTTGAGTCTTAAAAAGAAAGCTCTAAAAACATGCCACTTATTCATCTTCACTTGGCAAGGATGGATGCATGAGAACTAATGTCCATCAAGCAGGGATAGAAGGAAATGCTGAAGTCGGTTAGCAGCTTGTCCTAAGAGGATGTGGCATGATAAAATGAAAAAGTCTTTAAAGACATCTCTTATGCTCACTACAGCTACAAAATACAACAGAAAAAGTATTAATGTAAAATATTAATACAATTTAAAATGACTTTTTATTTTAATATAAGACTACAGTCTTCAGTTTCACATGATCCTTCGGGAATCATTCTAATATGCTGATTTGGTGCTCAAGAAACATTCATTATGTTGAAAACATATAATATTCGTAATAATAATAAAAAACGTTGTCAACGTTTTACTATTTTGTTCAATTGAATAAATCCTTACTGAATAAAAATGTTAATTTCTTTAAAAAAAAATGTAAAAAGTCTTACAGACCCCAAACTTTTGAACGGTAGTATAAATGTAAAAGGTAAATTTATCATAGCCAGTCAATACAAATGACAGGATGTTTTGTTGATTACTTTGTTTTTTTCTACTGCGGTGTAGCAATGGGTAGCCCCGCCTATAGTGCAATTTCATTGGTCCACATAAATGCATGTTAAACATCAAACATTTGTGCCATGTTGTGCAACATTTTTTCTATTTTTCTTGTAGAAAATGAAGCACATTGAATATCATACAAAGCCATATTGAGAAACTCTTAATATTATAAAGACATAGGGCCATCATAGAAACCACCTGGAATAAACCCTACAGTAGCAACAACATAGCAACACCCTAGCACATAGCGGCGAGTTGTGCATGGGCAAACACCATTGACATTTTAAATTTTTCTTTCCTTTTTTTTTTAAAATTCTTTACACTCTGACTTTTATTGCGGTCTTTGGTCTTTCAGATTCATGGATAATCTGCAAACTGAGATGTTAGAGATTGAGTTCCTGACCTATTCCAAAGGCATGACCACCATCAGCGAGGAGGACTTTGCACGAATCTTGCTGCGCTACACTAACGTAGAGGATATCCGCAGCTATCTGGAGAATGTGCGCCAGTGCATACCTGATGAGAAGGTAATGAGTAATGTCACCTAGCCACTAACTTCATCTGAAAGAAAGGTGTAGGACAACTGGGACGACCACATCCCCCAAGCTCACACTTTCACCCCTTCAAACGACTCATGTTACCCCTCCTCCTGACAGCTTTACATGTACAGGAAGGTTACTGGTTCAACACTTCTGTGCCCCACAAGGAAATTCAATCATATTATTAAAAATACACATACAAATTCAATGTTATCCATTTACACATATTTGTTCTATTCATAAAATTCTCTTATCCAGCCCAAAAATACACACATTCCCACAGCTTGAGTGGTCATCCACCCTTGAATGCTCAAATGCCCCATATTGAGTGTGTGACATTTACATGTGAACTGCAGTTTAATCTTATAGTCTCTCTATTCTCACCTCTCCACAACTAATGTAACTCTTTCATCCTGCAGATGGTCATTTTTCTTAATATTACCATGTTTATTTAAGGAGCAAGTGTCAAACTCACACTTTGTAGTAAAGTGGAACTGGACTTTTCCCAGGCCCAGATGTCTTAAAGGAATAGTTCACCCAAAAATGAAAATGGATCCTCTTGCATTGAATGGGTGCCATCAGAATTAGAGTTAGAACCGCTGATAAAAACATCACAATAATCCACAAGTAATCCACATGACTCAATTAAAAGCTTGTGAAGTGAAAGTGTTTGTCATGAACAAATCTATCATTAAGATGTTTTTAACTTCTTAACTTAAAGCTAAAATATGAGTCCTCTATCCATAATATTGCTTCCTCCAGTGAAAAAGTCATATAATCTGAACCAGGAGAGAAATATGCACAGATCAAACACTGTTTAGCAAAAACAGTTCTAAACAAGCATGTAGGTGGGTTTTGATGTGAAAGGACAGGAAGTGTTAATATATAACTGGTATTTTGACCAGAAGCGACAGTTTAAAGTTAAAATGCCTTGATGGATTTGTTTCTTTCAAACATGCAACTTTTCACTTCACAAAACATTAATTGATGGACTGGAGTGGTGTGGGTTACTTGTGGATTATTGTGATGTTTTTATCAGCTGTTTGGACTCTCATTCTGACGGCACCCATTCACTGCAGAGGATCCATTGGTGAACAAGTGATGTAATGCTAAATTTCTCTCTGTTCTGATGAAACAAATTAATCTAAATCTTGGATGGTATGAAAGTGAGTATATTTTCATCAAATTGTTATTTATGGGTGAACTATTCTTGATGCAAATGTTATATTGTTATGTGTCTATTAGTTATGTGCTGCTATTTTTTATTTGTTTAGCTGGTTTACTGTGCCCCTATATTAATTCTTGAAAAAAAAAAAAACAGACTTTGTTCAAACTGCACGTGAATCTATTCTTTAGGTCTGACTGTCTTAAGTGCACACAAGTTGCAGGGTGAATTCCAACAGTGTACAAAAACGTCCTGTATTCTCTCTGTTATCCCTGTTTATCAAACACTGGAAGAAAGCAGAGGTTTGTCCCTGCGGGAGTCTGCAGCTCTTGATCAGATCATTTTTGTTTGGTTTTGCATTTTGTGTTTCAGTTGTTTTCTCTCTCTTTGATTTTGTGGCACATGTTCAAGAAAGTAAATTCCCGTTTACTTTCAACCAGCTATACGATTATCATGTTGTGAGAGCTTTGAACATATTTCTTGAGTTTAAAGTATATTAAAATATACAGTGGTCCCAAAAAGCATTTGGTCGCTTCATCCACACTTAAAATATGTGGATATCAATTATTTATCCATCCATCCATCCTTACTTGTCTACTTGCATTATAACCAATCACACACAATTCTGTTAAGCTTATGAATGCAATGGCCAGTCAGAGACGTTCAGATTAGTCATCGTTGAAACACCAGAGGTTTTAGTGTGCGCGCTTGCAGACGGAATTCTGCACTCTCACGAATTCTCTCATCATAAACAACAAAGTGCAGATGTATATGCAATGTAAGAGATTCATTTTACAGTGTAGACAGCTTCATTAATTATAACGATAGTTTTTTTTGTTTCTTTGTTTTTGAGAGTTAAACTCTCAAAATAGATAGATAGATTGAAGTTAGTGCATGTTCTTCGCTCGCTTTCTGTATGTAATTTTTTCGCTGTTTGAATAACCGTGGAAATGAAAACGTTATAATTCGCAACTTACAATGTTTTTATTCAATTTTGATCTCGTTAAATACAAATTTAGTCCTATTAAAATATTTTATTAGCCTACATGACACATGGTACTTGCCTAAAAAGACAGTTTTATGATGTTTGTAGCCAATAGCATTAGGCTACTTTTAGCTTACCCTGGAGTTGGTTCACCCTCCGCCTGTGCTGCCTACCTATTTGTCTACTTACCTACTTGTCTATCTATATATATATATATGTGTATATATATATATATATATATATATATATGTATATATGTATGTATATATATATAATGAAATTCCTTTCATTTTAAGTTAAGTGTCCAAATCCCTTTTTGGCCCACTGTAGTTGTGTGGGTGTGTTGTGTATGTGCTTGGGGCAAAGTTTGTGTTTGAATACAGATTGTCATGCTGTCCATCTAGAGGGTCACCTGATGTCGGTTTCTCCATGCCTGACTGCTCTCTTTTAGCTCTTTCCCAGTCCCATCTGAGGGATCTGTTTGTGTTGAGGGTATCAGGTTTTGGGGCCCCTTTGAGCAGTTTGTACATTTGGCTAGAATGACTTCACCCTCCTCTGGAATTCCCACGGAATAGACCCTAAACTCACTTTTATGGCATTTTATGGTTTTCCACGAGTGCCAAGTCCTGAACTCAATCCAACAAAATCCAGCTTTAAACATCAAACCTACCCAACAGTTAAGCCTAATGTGTAACTAGAACTATGTTAAATACTCACCAGAGAGGTTTATGTGGATTACCATAGCTGTGACAAGACTTCTGACACCCTCGGGTGAAAGATTTAATCCTAGATTTTGTTTTGACAGGCAGGACAATATGCTGCAGGATTCTGTGCATTCAATTCCAAAATGTAAAAAAAAAAGTCTGTCATTATTTACTCACCCTCATGACATACTTGTATACTTTTCTTTCTTCTGTGGAACACAAAAGACGATATTTTGGAAAATGTCTTGGGTGTTTTTTGTCCATACAGTGGAGGTCATTCGGGTTAGATGTTATTTGGATATAAAGTTCTTCAAATTGTTTCACAGTACAAAGATATGCAGGGTTTGAACAACATGAGGGTGAGTAAATTGCGACACAAATTTAATTTTTGGGTGTACACTACTGTACAATACTTTGCAAAAGTTTGGGGTCAGGATTTTTTTTTTTTTAATTCTCATTAAAAAAAACTTTTATTCAGCAAGTTTAATTGATCAAAACTGATTAAAGACTTTTGCATTATTACAAAAATGTATGTTTCAAATATTAAATAGCACAACTGTTTTCAACATTGATGATCATGGGAAATGTTTCCTGAACATCAAATCAGCATATTAGAATGATTTCTGAAGGATCATGTGACACTGAAGACTGGAGTAATGATGCTGAAAATTCAGCTTTGCATCACAGGAACAAATTACATTTTAAAATATATTCAAATAAATATATAAATAGGTATTTTAAGCTGTAGTAGTAATTCACAATATTGCTATTTTTGTTCAAATAAATGCAGCCTTGGTAAGAATAAGAGACTTCTTTTAAAAACATAAAAAATCATACTGACTCCAGACTTTTGAGCTGTGTTTTTAAGACGTTCTTGGAGTTCTGTTGTCAGTCAAATTTTAAGTTATCTTCTTGATTCCAGTCGATGATGTCATGCTGTTTGGCTGACAGTTTTATGACATTGTGCTGTGAAATGACTCGTGCCTTTCATCGTGGCATGTGTCATTGTGTGCTGTGTTGGCAGAGCACAAAGAGCTGCACACGCATCAGCAAACAAGCATGAGCGGCACAGCGTCGGGTTTCTTGTGCATATATCAAAATGTTGATTTCTGTTTGTCCATCATTGCATTTGTGTGTTCGGTACAGATTTGCTTGGGTATGAAATGAGAACTCTGCTTGTGTATTCTGCGTGATGATGTCATGTCGCTCACAGATCCTTTTTGAAATGGAATGGAATGGAATGTAAAGTCAGTTTATGGCAGCTCTGTCTGTTTGATTGAATTGCTCTTTTCTTTTGTTTCATGATCAGGGCATCACCTTTGAAGAGTTCAGGTCTTTCTTCCAGTTCCTCAATAACCTTGAAGACTTTGCCATTGCCATGCAGATGTACAACTTTGCCTGTCGTTCCATTGGACAAGGTGAAATACTTACTTAAAGGGATAGTTCACCCAAAAATGAAAATTCTGTCATTATTTGAGAAGGGTATAACTGCAGCCTGGAGATCTCCAAATGGGGGCGGGAACTCCAAAACGGGGTGGGAGCTCCAAAATAGGGCGTGGCTTCCTCCCATTGACAGACAGGCACATGACACGAATGTGCAATTTTCCCCCCCAATCCACTTCAGTGCAGACTCCGCCCCACAGCTGATTCTAAAGTTTTTATAGGTTGTGTCAATTAAAGTGTTGATTTCCAACACTATGCTACAAAAAATGCTAACCCCTAAAGCTACCCCACACCTGACCCTAACCTTAACCAGTGAAATTGACTGCACGGCGGGATTGGCGGTGAATAGCGTGGTAAAGAAAGATGCAGTTCAGGAGATAAATAGTTAATAAGATTATGCGATATGAGATCGTTCCGTAACTCCCCAACCGGACCTCACCGGACAATGGCACCTTTTTAGTTACACCCAGCATCACTACCCCCTCCTACCCTGCGAATTTCGAGCCCCGGGACGCCCTCATTGCTTGGAACAAAGCAATAGAGTAAAACCTTTCCCCTGCGATGGGACGGCTCGCGGGAGAGCTCGTGGGTGATTCCCGTTTATATCATTTCGTTCCAAACCCTTCGTTCATCTTTGAAAAACAAATTTGAATTCACACATACTACTGTTTAATGCAAATGTAAAATGCACAGTGAGATTTAAAAGTCTGAGACCACATTTAAAGTCTGGGATTTAAAATCTAATTTTAAAACAAAGAAATTCGTACCAGTTTTTGAAATCAGTGTTTCACTTAAATAAATATCAATATTTTTTAATGCACAATTTTTTTTATTGAAATAGAAAAATGCAAATTATTTATTTTAGAATTTTTTTCCCCCCTTTAAAATAAATGGTTTGGACCTGCCACTGTATTCTCAAAATGTACTATGCAAATAGGGTATATGTCGAACATCACCTGACCAAACCCAGAAAAAAGGTCTCATCGCTTCCGCTTGTCGGAGAACATGTTAACAGCCGTATTAAATAATAGCGATATCTATGGACTTTTAAGATAATCAGTTAAACTAGCTAGCTGTTTTTATTGTTGACGTTTTATTCCATTTTTATATCTAAAAGCGAAAAGAATACAAATAAAAAAAACTTTTAGATATCAGTCCGCATATGTGATGGACATTGGTTATGATCATCATTGGTATCTACTTTGAAGGCATCTTGAGTAAAACTGCTTCATATACCCATTACAAACGAGGCATTTGTTGCATCCAGTGGGGACATAATTGGACTTGTGGAAGTGGAAGGAGCGGCAAGCACATGTGACGACCCCGGGCTTCTTCCACGGTGAAAGCCGATCCGGCGATCCACAGCACTAAGTTGATGTATTCCCTCAGCGACCAGCACGGATTGACCCCTTTAAGAAACCCAAAAATGAGGTGATCGTGTTAAATGAAAAGTGTGGAGCAAATTCACTGTCCTCTGAATGTGTGTGTCTCTCTCTGTCTTCCAGATGAGTTTGCTCGGGCGGTATATGTCGCAACAGGCCTCAAGCTGACCCGCCACCTGGTTAACACCATCTTCAAGATATTTGATGTGGATCATGATGATCAGCTCAGTTACAAAGAGTTCATTGGTATCATGAAGGACCGGCTGCACCGTGGAGGCAGGGTAAGAAAGAGGTGTAGTGGAAAGAGCGGTGCATCATGCTTTTGAGCATTCAAATGTAATTGTGAGATAAGGACAGTATCACTGCAGCTATAGCGCCACCTAGTGTTAACTAGTTATATCTGTACAATGAAACCTATAGCTCCCTGTAGGTTTTTCATTATCATTATAGTTCTAAATCTGCTGTCAAGTAAACATAATATTTTCTTCTGATATTCTACTATGCATAGCAGCATTCATTTTTTTATTAAAATAATTTTTTGTATGAATTTTAAAAATATTTTTTCCATGTAATCTAGCTATTGTTTGTTGATAATTAATAACAAGTTCAGTTTTTTTTAATAGTAATTTTGTCAACTACTGAAGTAATGACTAATTCTCTCTCTCTCTTTGTTTCTGCAGGGTTATAAGGCTGTAGAGCGTTTTACTTCATTTAAATCATGTCTGAAGAAGGAACTGGCTGGCAGATAAGTAGCCCTATATACACACATACACACTCACATTGAAAAGGTGAAAAGACATTTTTCAAAAAAGTCTCTTATGTTTACCAAGTCTGCATTTATTTGATCAAAAATTAAGTCTTTATCGTCACTTTTGATACATTTAATGCATCCTTGCTACATGAAAGTATTGATTTCTTTAAAAAATAATAAATAAAATCTTTCTGACCCCAAACTTTTTAATGGTAGTGTATATATGCAATCTAGCTTTCTATTTTTTCTATTCTATCTTGTTTTTCTGTGTGTGTGTGTGTGTGTGTGTGTGTGTGTGTGCGTGTGTGTGTGTGTGCGTGTGTGTGTGTGTGCGTGTGTGTGTGTGTGCGTGTGTGTGTGTGTGCGTGTGTGTGTGTGTGCGTGTGTGTGTGTGTGTACAGGTATATATGGTTTATGAGGACACAAATGTGTATAATGACATGGGTACTACAACGTAAACATGGTTTATGACCGTAATACAAAAGGCTTAAAAAACATACAAAACGGTGTTTTATGAAATTAAAAAATTGGCAGCAGTTTCCTGTGTGGGGTAGGTTTAGGTGTAGGGTTGGTGTAGGGCAATAGAATATACAGTTTGTATGGTATAAAAACCATTACGCCTATGGAGAGTCCCCGTAAACCACAAATACAAGTATGTGTGTGTGTGTGTGTATATAATATATATATATATATATATATATATATATACACCTTGCTATATATTGTACAGGAAAATCTTGATTTAATGAGTGAATATTTGTAAGGTAAAGGTTTTAATTAGCTCTTCCCTTTTCTTTTGCACCAGGTGAACGGTGTTCAAGATGTGTCTTTTCTTTCTCAGAAAGAAACTGATTTGTCTGCTCTGGAAATGTTTGAGAGAGGTTCCATCATGAAATCTACCTCTTCTTCTTCTGATTTTGAAACCTTGGGATTGGGATGGTGTCCCTGCAATCAGCGCTCTGCACTGCATGTTCTAGAATCTGCACAGCTCTGTGTGATCTAACTTTATTCTGTAATCTGCTCTAAATCTTGTTTGCTTATAAACTGGGAGATGGCATTTCAGCTGGTACAAGTTCAATTTTTGTATTTTTTAAAGTTGCACATGGGTGTCCTGGAAGGGTAAAGAGATTTTTAAATGCATTTGTAATGGAAATGTTTTAAGCAGGGTGAGTTACTCATTATGACCTTTTATTCATTATATTTATACTATATTATATTGCATTTTACAAACAAAGCTATTATTATTATTATTTTGTCATTGTCAGGATTGTTTAAATGTACAGAATCATACTGTGTGAAAAGGGTAACACTTTATTATCATAATCAGAAACTGGGTTTGTAAGAGATTATGTAGATCGTGTAGCATTAAGCCCAATAATAAGCATTGCCTTAATCTAAAATTGTTGTTATTTTTCTCACACAATTGATTTATTTTTGAACAGGTATCGCTGTACAAAGATTGCGCAAGATTGGTTTGCCATCCAAGGCAATTAACATCGAAGTCTAAGCATGCTTTTTAAGACTGTACTGTAATTCAAACACTTAACAAATACAGACTTGAAATTCCATGATAATATTATACAAGTCAATAAAGTTGTTTCAGTGTGCCTATGATGCAAGTTTCTCACAGTGTGTTTAAGATTATCTCCGATGATTCTGCATGACATATAATCCCAATATAGTCTGTATATAGGTCCTTACATTAGAATATTATTTCTCCATATATGTAATCTGTGCATATTTAAATAGAATTTATAGAAAAAGTAATTTCATATTTATAGAAAAAAAACTTTGAATAAATGGATAATCTGGTCAGAAATATATTTTTAAGATAAAGATAAAAAAAAGTGAATGATTTACATTTATTATGATTAATAATGTCATATTTATAGAAAAAAAACTTTGAATAAATGGATAATCTGGTCAGAAATATCTTTTTAAGATAAAGATAAAAAAAAGTGAATGATTTACATTTATTATGATTACAATTACTAATTGAATAAAATAATTCATAAGAAATGACGCCAACACCCTGACCTGAAACTTCCAGATACACGAGAATTCGACACAAAATAAGAAACAAAACATACAGGCATAAAATAATTTACAATGGCATAAACACGTATGTTTTCATTAACTTTCCTAATAACTTTTTCATTAGTGTTACAAGTTTTGAGCCCCGTCCGTGATTTTGAAACGTGCTGCTGGCTGTATTTGGTTATTACGTTTATCTTAAAGAATGTCTTCAGAATAACGCAAGTGCTGTTTTCTGTGTTATAGCAAATATATTTTTTTTAATTACCTGGATGAATACAAATCTGAACAGAGTGAACAGTTTTCACTCTTGTCGGAACCTTTATAAAGAGTGGGCGGTTTCGCTCCGGACATTTGTTATTGCTGTACCAGCACTGTATCAACCCTGAATACACATATTGAAATAAATAAAATGCTTTTTTATTTATTTATTGGTATTTTTAAAATTCATATGTACATTATTCTTGTGTTAGAACGTTTAAAATGTTTATATGTGACGTTCGATTTATTTTTATTGAGAAACACATATGCTCTCTCTTGATTGGTTGCTTTTGTCAGGCGCTGTTTCTTGAGCTTGACGTGCATTATGGGTAACTGTATGATTGTTAATAATATACGTTTATTTATATTGTCATTACATTAAAAACAAAGTATTTTATATTATTTGTATTATATATATATATATATATATATAACCGGAACGATAAGAACAATGTTACTAATTCCAATCGAATGTGGTTATGATTGTTGTTTTTCTCATCGATGATAATGGTGAGCACATCTTGTATGTGGAAATGTCTCGTTTTAACAGAGAAGCCGTGTTTATTGTATGTGAACCGACATAAGTCAATATTTGTGTTATTTAGAAAATTGGTATGCATTCACGATCATGAAAATACTAGTCTTTTAGATGTTACTTTCCTAATCGCTGATTCGTGTACAGCGAGCTCGAGCTCCCATTGACCACCGTCTGTGAGACTCAGAGAGTCAGAGTCGACCCGAGCTGGTTTTGGTGAGTGCAGGTTAAGACTATACTTTCAGGGATCATTTCTATAGTTCTTGACTAGGAAATGTGTTTCGAAAGAGTTGTGTCTCCCACACCACGATGAAGAGTCTCGATACTCTCTTCTGAGCGTGAATCGGGTGTAGAGTAATGATTCGTTTCATACGCAATACATCATTGATGAACGTTCCTTATTGCTATTATGCAGTTTGGAGGAGGAGGGTATGATCAGAGTGGTTTGAGAATCTGTCTTAAAGAATAGGAAATCTGAATGTTTAATATTTGATATATTGCTATTTTGCGATTTGGAGGAAGAGGGTATGATTGGAGTGGTGTGAGAATCTGTCTTAAAAAATAGAAGATCTTAATGTTTAATATGTGGTTTATTGCTATATGCAGTATGGAGAAGGAGGGTATGATCAGAGTGGTTTCAGAATCTGTCTTTAAAAATAGAATATTTTAATGTTTAATATGTGATTTATTGCTATTATGCAGTATGGAGGAAGAGGGTATGATCAGAGTGGTTTGAGAATCTGTCTTAAAAAATAGAAAATCTTAATGTTTAATGTGATTTATTGCTATATGCAGTAT